CGTAGGGAAACAAGCGTCTTTGGCAGCTGACTCTCAACAACTTAACGTAAAGCCAAGTAAGAGATGAAACAAAGGAGTATCGGATGCCTCTGTGCGTGGCATTCGATGGCTACGAAAAAGCATTCAATTCCGTACAAATAGCGACTACATTCATAAACAAGGTGTTGAGGGTGTACATAGCATTCGATGATTACGAAAAGGCATTCAAGTCCGTATAAATAGTAACTACATTCACAAACAAGATGTTAAGGGTGTCCATGGCATTCGATGATTACGAAAAAAAGCATTCAGTTTTGTATAAATAATGACTTCATTCATAAACAAGGTGTTAAGGGTGTCCATAGCATTCGATGATTACGAAAAGGCATTCAAGTCCGTATAAATACTAACTACATTCACAAACAAGATGTTAAGGGTGCCCATCGTATACTATTAAACGTCTTTATTTACAAAGATAGAAAAGCGACCATCAGGCTTCAGAAACCGATAAAACCCCAAAGAAAACGGGGCAAAAACGTCGATGAGGCCAAACGCTGTCATTCCACAAACCGGTTTACAGCTTGTTCAGAGGATCTATTAAGGGAGTTAGATTGTAGGGACTGAAGAATTAAGCTAAACGTTTAAGTGAATTCCGATTAGCAGACGACGTCGTTTCGGTTTACGGCCTGTAAAGGGATTAAAACAGTTAAAGAGACGATTCGAAAGTTTGATGAGCGAGAAAAAGCAACAAGATGTTTTCTAATCGTGTTTAATAACAAACAGATCTCGTAGGATTAAAGGATAACAGCACATTCGACTAGGATGGAGTGCGGTTAATAAGGAAAATCCTGTACATTATTTCGACGTTAATTTTTCATCCTTTTCCTTATTTCAAAAGAGCAGAATCTCCCAACCAGTCCGGTCTTCCGGTCAAGACACGTGGGGGGGGGGGGGGGCATTGATTACGAAGAAGTAACGAGAAGAAAAAAAAAAATAAAAACCCGTAGAAGAATGAGAAAATTGATGATAGGAAGAAAATCGATTAGGAAACAGACCAAATTGGAAAAAAAAATACTAAAGAGCATTAATAAAAGAAGAAATGGTAATAAGCAAGTGGTGTAAGTAAGAGAGAGATTTATGGATGGACAATGAAAAAAGTAAAATGTTTAGGGCATGGAGAATACAAGGGGATAAAGGGTAAGATTTTTTTTTTTTTGGGGGGGGGGATGTGAGAATGGGGATAGGTATATGGGAGTGTTTTTTTTTTTTTATTTTTTTTTTAAGGAAGTCCTTTTTCATGTTTTCATAGGGATATATTTACGTTTTCTTTTTCTATTTTTGGCTTTTTATGTATTTATGGGGATGTATATTTTTATGAGATTCTGTTTTTAA